CGGTAATGGTATCTGCCGACCGCAACCATTACCATAGTCTGCACAAGGTCTCCGCAAGACCCGCGCGCGCTCGCGTAGAAAATGCCTAACTGAGCCAGTGTAGGGTTGTAGGGTGTAGGGTATGTTTTTACTCCTTTATATTCATTTTGACTCTGTCCCCTTATGAGATAGAGAATAACCCTACATACCCTACATACCATACATTCAGTATATAGTGGAAAAAGAAAAAAAGTTTAAAATTGACACTGAAGTCAGTGTCGTATGATATAAAAGTAAAAAATGTAGGGTTTCAAAAAATCAAAATAAAACCCTACACGATCCGCGCAAACCCTACACTAGATCTTCACGCGGTCTTTACTGGGTCTGTCGCGGGCGGGGGAAGCCGGCGGTTAAACACAATATGCCAGCCTAATGAAAAATTCAATTGAACAAATTTGGGGGTTAATCCGCTATTGCAAAGAACCAACAAAATGCTTTGTAAACCCCGTCTTTTGCATTTTTCCGTGGTACATGAAGACTTGCTGGAGGTTTTTCCCCTGTGTTGTTTCTGTAAAGACAGTCCGATATTCTCATGCACAACAGCCAATTTCCAAATAGCTTATTCATTTGCCATAGATAATGAGGACACCAACATCCTTTGTAAAGACGTGGACGTAAAGATCTGTTTACCAGATCTAAAAACTTCTTACACTCCTTGTGCTGCTCGTACAGTTTGAAAAACGATTTTATCGAAGTCATATTAACATTTCCATAGGCGATATGATCGAATATATGAAACTTCCTATAGGGCGTCAATTCCGTCTTTCCGTTCATAACGAAGGCGATTGAATCCGCTTTTCGCTCATTTTCCAGCTTCATTCTCACAATCTTTTCGTACAAATCCAACGGAAGGGCTCGCCCGACCTGCTTAAATGTCAAACTCATTTCTATAATCGAAGATAAATTGTCTGTCAAATGGCCGTCGCGGGCTAATTTCTGCCATTTTTTGAACGAAAATGAAAACTATTTAAAAAGAAGCCTGCTTCCTTAAAGAAGAGCCCCGCAAAAAAAATTTGAAATCTGCCAAGAATTCCGTTTGCCATAACCAGTCAATTCACTTCAAAGCCAGCAAACATGGATATGAAGACAGTCTACAAAGCTCTGCCGCGCGAAATCTTCGATGACATCTTGACCAGATTCAAGCGCCGTCAAGCTCATAAGCTCGACTGTATGCAAGAGTACATGGAATCCAACGAGCATGGTCGTCCGTCAGAATGTAAATGGTACGATATTCTTGCATCGAATGAGCAGCTAGAAGGAGAAAAATACGAGCTCGCACGTCTGCGGAGAAAGCTAGGCTATCGCATGAACCATGTTCTCGAAGATGTAAAGTATTTGTTTGAAGCACCCCACCGCTCTTCCTTTCGAAGTATGTGTAGCGACGAAGAGGAATCGGCTTTAGGTAAGTTATTGCGCCATCTGCGCGAGGAAGAAGAATCAGATCAAGAAGAAGATGCATTCGCATATATGTCAGAATATGACCATGAATGTTGGGTACACAGATACTTGAATGATATTGCCCCACAGACAGCTGAGGAGAACGGATATATCGAGCACTCAGATGAGGAGTGAGTTTGATCATTTTTTCTATGCTCATTGCAAATGAGTCCAACTAATATTCACTTCTCAAGGTCGTCGAGCCCTGGGAAGAAATTGAAAGTGCAATTTACTTATCAAGGCAAGCAGCACACTTTGCATTTCGGAAATACGTCTTATCAGCACTACCACGATAAAACAAATGTGCTTCCAAAGTCCTGGAATCATGGAGACCCTGTGCGCCGCCGTGCATACTTCGAGAGACATTCAAAAGTTTTAAACAAAGCTGGCAAGCGGGTGATCAGCGATCCCTTAAGCCCGAGCTACTGGGCATGGAAATACTTGTGGTAACTTCATTACATCTTCTCGACATCTTCTGCACAAAGAATTGGATTCAAATATGTCACTGATGATTGATTAACTGTTCCTACGGTGTAGCATCTGACGGGTACTATCGCTTCGAAGTAAACAATGTCATCAGATGTACGTCTTTGGTACAATCGAACTTCGATGCTGTCAGCGTCAAGCACGGTACTTGCAGAACCTGTAATTGTAGCACTTATGTCGACAAGTTCTTTAACGAGTGTTCTATAAGTTATGCTTACCGCGTCTTTCTCAATAGATCCCTGAATTGACACAGAATGAACTGTTTGAATGTTTTCAACCCTCAGGAATTCCGTCATTGTACGAAAAGTTTTCTCATATCTTGACGGCGATAGTACCTCGGCAACCTTCAACTCTGTACATGCGGTGGGATAGTGTTTACAGACTTCGTTTTTGATCTTCTCGATTGAATTGTACTTTTCGCATTCGGATTCATCATTTTGGTCAAGTTTAAACATTTTTAAGGTTCCATCCAAATTCCTGCCGTTGCTGTAGAAAGATGTCATCATTATACTTACAGATAGAAAAAATAAATGGTTCAAACAACGCGTTTTCAGGTTCAACAACGTTGAGGATACCCAAGCGGTCAGTTTTTCTTTCTTTTTTGTGACTTCATTTCAGAATGGCAATTGAGTTGAAAGACAGCAATCCTTGTTTTCCCAAAGCGCTTTTTGATAAGGTGGCGAAGTGCTTTCCAATCATCAGACACGGAAAAATAATCCATTGCATATTCGAAGACGACATGCAGCTGAAACATTCAAAAGTTCGATTGATGTCCCTAAAAGAAGAACTTCGCGAGCACTACACGAAGCAAAGCTGGACTTTCGACTTTGCTGACAAATTCACTGAAAAAGACGCCATCGGGGTCTTGCGGCAAGCACTTTCTGTTTATGAGTTAAGGCTTCACAAAAGTCAGACAACTACCTATGGGATTCCAAGAAAGTATTACTCGATCTTGAGAGAGGATCAGCCAATTGAATTGTCTGCACCTAAGACCATTGCGGTCGTACGTAGACCACTCAGCGTCTCTTTTTCTTGAGTTAAAGTAAGAATGGACTACTTTGTGTCGAGTGGGTATCTAGAAGACTTGGAAAGTACCGTGACTGTCAATGCTCTCAACGGGGATATTGTTGTAGTCGAAACAATCAGCACGAGTAACGTTCAGTCGAGCAACGCTGATATCGGGATTTTGGAGAGTTACTCGTTTGCCAGTACCCTTGGTGAAAC